AATAACTTACCAGGGTGGCGGTGCAGGCTCAGCGATCATTTAATTTTATTGCCTCCGTACATTTTTGCTCTCATGTCTGCTTTTAATATGAAACTGTCCGACATTTCCCTTCATTCGCCCCGCTTATTTTTTTTGTGTAATTATAGTGTCCTTTTATTCGGACTACGGGTTTGTACTCGTCCCCTCCTACAACTCCCGATGAGATGGATTTTTTTTTTCCAATTGACCTAATCCTTCCAGCGGCACTATGGCCCTGGGGTCGACTCAGCCTCTAACAGAAATGAGTACCAGGAATTTTCCTGGGGGGTAAAGGGCGGCCGGCGCGTAAGGCTGACAACCTTACCGTCATCTATAAGCCGATTATGTAGAAAATATGGAATCCTCGACGTCTCACAACCCTATGGGCCTCCACGGCCTGTTACAGGGATAGCCTTACCTTCTTTATAAGGTTAGGTTTTTTCATGCAGCAGCGAACATGGATTATATATATATTTTATATATATCAGATAATATGACCCAAGTACCGAATATGTTCTTGTAGACATAATATTCTATATTTTTATTGAGGAGATGCTGGATTCGAATCCTGTCTTGGGCACTGGGTGCCTGACTAGGGACTTTCATTGTTGTCCTGAGTCCTTCCAGGCAAATTTCGGGATGTTATCTCGATTAGGCCACGACCGCGTCCTTCCATATCCTTTCCAGTTTATTACTGACCAGTTATTCCTATCATTCGACGCTACAGTCTGAGGTACCGAGAACACTGTAAAAGAAACGACAGAAATATAGATCTAGGCTCATCTGTATTACCCTATACGCACCGATTTCCGATGTTGTAATGTGAGAATACTCGCTGGTTGCTCCTGCCTCACATTTCGAGATTGGTTGTTGATTCAGGTAATAAACTTTCTGTATGAAGACCTTTCATTTTGCCATAGTTAAGCGTAGGAGACAAATGGCTGTATTACAGTAGACAAATGAAATTCCATACTGTATTTGGAGATTTAAATTTGGGCACGCGGTAGCGTAGTTGGTTGAGGCACTGTGCGGGATCGAATCCCGATGAAGTCATTGGATGTTTTTCAATTGACGCAATCCTTCCAGCCGCACCATGGCCCTGGGATTGACTCAGCCTCTAACAAAAATGAGTACCAGGAATATTCTTCGAATATTTTTGGGGGTAAAGGGCGGCCGGCGTGTAGGGCTGACAACCTTACCGCCATCTATGAGCCGATTGTCCAGAAAATGTGGGAACCTCAACATCTCACAACCCTATGGGCCTCCAAGGCCTGTTACAGGGATACCTTTAATTTTTTTTTTTACTTTTTTACTTTATCGGTGTTCCGTAAAATCTCCATAATTCTCAGCCGCATCTCTGTTGCAACCGAGAGAGTTGGATGGTTTACATTATCTGGCGTTCAGCTGCCACGCCAAGAAGCCTTTATCGATAAACATATGTCCATCGTACACATGCAGTTCTTTCCAGTCTGAAGTTCATTATCTCTATCCATACAGTCTTTACTGAAGAGGATACGGCACAACTTTTTGGTGTACAACCGGTAGATGGGACCCACAAAATAGTTTCGCGTTGTGTCATATTATGGGACCGTCTACACAACAAACAAATCCGATACCAACGCACCAAATTTCGTTTATTCGGCAAAGGCGTCGCTACAGGTGTCGACCCTTACAAGGTCATCACGAGGCGAGCCTATAGAAATATGATCTTCATCATTGAATTGTTTTTCTTAATATGGAAGTATATTATTAAAATGTTTTGCCATTTGTTTAGTGAATACACCCTTTTGTTAAAAGACGTGTATAATGTAATAAATGCACATTTGTTTGCAAATTAAGCTTAAACTCTTATGTAGAAGAAAACAGCAGAGAGTGACATAAAGAAAGCACTTAGGAGACCACTACACGACGCTTAGATATGGGCAAAGAAGTAAACAAGTGCCCACCCCCAGATCTGGTCAAGTGGGATTTGTGGTGGACAAAGTGCCGCTGGGGCAGGTTTTATCCGAGTACTTCGGTTTTCCCTGCCACTCTTCATTGCACCAAATTCTCCATCATCATAATCACCCAGGACAGGTACTATAGGCCAATCAGTGGCCGCCGTGCCGAATGGTCCCAGCTGGATTCCACTCCCCACGATGCGAATTAAAAAAAACAAAACAAGGACCCCCCCCCACGTTGCCTCGACCTACGCCTTACCACCTAGCAACGACCATAACAAAACTCGACGAACCTAAAAACTTTTAGTTTTAAAGCTAATTTAAAGTCAGTTCTCAAAGTCGAGGTATAATTCGGCTAACTAATTTTAAAACTGAAATTATATTTATATTAATCCAAACCATATATTTAATTTTAATTTTAATTCTAATTTGCAAAGAAGAAGTGTATTTATTAGATTTTATTCGCTAAACAAATGGTAAAGAGATCGAAATAATATTGTAGCGTGTTACAGTATAACACGGGAGATATACAAGTGTCCCTGAGTTACAAAACAGTTACTGCATAGAGCAGATACGCCACAATATGGATCCTGACTAAGATCACATTTCTATAGATTCGCCGGGTCAAAACGTGTGGCGACGCCTTTGCCACATAAACGAATGCTGGTGCGTCAATACCGATTTTGTTCGTTGATGTAATTGTTGTGTAAACGCTCCCATAAAATGCTATTATATGACATACAACAAGATGCGTCTCATGAAGAGAATGTATAAACTGTTGGTAAAAGTCTTAGTCCATTGACTTGCGGTTACGGGTGCGAGTAAAGGACCACAGGCCAAATGGGACTCCCAAAATATCATGCTTTGCTCATACGTGTGGGCCTATATCCTGAGTTAGACGAAGCAGCTGCGTCCTTGAGAAAGCAGCGTGACGCAAAAATGCGTAAATAGAGAACATTATCTGCACTGGCTCAGAATTAGAAATGAGGGTTACGTTCCTGCGTGTAGGTGTCTATTATACAGCGACACGTTTGGTGAATATGCAAGTATTTAATTACACGGTACATAAATAGGATATTATTAAAAATCAGTACTGCTTGTATATGAAAACGCGCAAACCGAAGGAATGTAACCTAGAATAAACCTATATCTTTCTCTTTGCTGTTGTGGTCTATCACATTTCGCAGTATATGACTGCTGAGACTGCATTTATATGCATTTTTTGTGCTTGTTACAGAAAATATAACATTCGTATACTGCGATCCATGTCGCCATTATATCTCGTATATGTTCCCATTATCGAATTTTTCACTTTTGCGATTTTTATGAAACCCTTTGTGAATGTGTGTTATTGTAACTTAGAGATCCATTGCTAGGCAGCGACTTAATTTCGAAACATTCGTTGTAAATTGACTGATCCTGCTGTCATATTTTTATACTCCCCAATCGGTCGTAAAAACATTGCGGCCTTGCGAACTGTTTTATGTGAGAGAAACACTAATATCGCTTAGTGTAAAACAGAAATGTATCATGTTTTATTTGAAGGCGCTCTAGTAAGTTCGGCTTTAGGCCGCGCCATAGCTCAAGCGGCTAGTCGCGGGCTTCCCACGCGGCGGCCCGGGTTCGATCCCGGGTCTGGTCAAGTGGGGTTTGTGGTGGACAAAGTGGCGCTGGGACAGGTTTTCTCCTAGTACTTCGGTTTCCCCTGCCAATCTTCATTCCACCAATTGCTCCACAATCACCCTCACTTATCATCTGGGGCTGGTACAGTAGGCCAGAAGTGGCCGCAGTACAAGGGACTTAGTCCCACCCACTAGCAATGAAAAATAAAATAAAAAGTTCGTCTTTTCTTTTTGATTCAGAAGGTTTAGGAGGAAGTTTCATTCATTTCCTTCATCAGTGGCTGTAGAGCCCTTTATTAGATCCTGGCCTCTCGTTCAGTTTCGTCATCTTCTTTACACATTCGGTAGGACTCCTTGTACGAGTGATCAGCCCGTCACAAGGCCCCTACCTACACACAGAACAACGCAAACACAGAATAAATGTGCGCAGACATCGGTGCCTTGAGTGGGATTCGAACCCACGATCCCAGTGTTCGAGCGAGCGAAGACAGTTCATGACTTAGACCGCGCGGCCACCGTGATCGTCTTAGGAGGAAGGGATCATAACTTATTTTGAAGTATTACTCCATAATTCGCTAGAGGGACCGGGGAAAATCATGGAACACCTCACACAAGGGGGCCAGTGTCTCGGTTGAAATTCTAGCCCCGTAATTCCCCGGACAGAAGACAGACGCGTCAGTTTGCTTCAGCCAACTTGCCTCTAATCATTCGCTATAGGAATATGGAAACGCGTATGTAAATTATCTGTCTAAAATATTAAAACTCATGTTCATGTCATGAATGAAAATTTACGTTTTGTGTAGTCATTAACTTAGGTTTCAGTTGATGTACGAAGTGGCACTGGGGAAGGTTTTCGCCGGGTAATTCAGTTTCACCTGCCAATTCTCGTTCCACCAACCGCTCCGTATTCATTAATCATCATATCATCGACGCTGTACAGTCTGGATGCTGACAGACTCGTTAAATAAACCAACTTAGGAACTTAAACTGTGTACCGGCCAAGAATTTGCCGAAGCCATTCCCAAGATATGTGCCAACATACAGATATGAGTTCTGTTTTATATGTTTAATTTCCGTATACTGAAACAGCTGCTGATCACAGTGGCCGCTCGGTCTAAGGCATGAACTTTCTTCTCTCGCTCGAAAGCTGTGATCGTGGGTTCGCATCTGACTCAAGGCATGGATTTCTGTGTGCGTTTATTCTGGGTTGGTGTTGTTCTGTGTGTACATAGCGGCCTTGCGACGGGCTGATCCCCCGTCCAAGGAGTCCACCGACTCTGTATAGGACCAAGAAACTGGAAAAAACCGCCAAGGTGTAAGAAATAGGACTGCAGAGCGATAGACAACAGATAATGAAACAACTCTTGCTTAGTGAGAGAGCATTTATATCTTCTTAATATGATTGCGATTTCTGTTTCAGACTTCCAGAAACTTGAGCGGGAGGCCCGCATATGTCGGAAGCTTCAGCACCCCAATATTGGTGAGTACTGCATAGAGGTACTTATCTAGAGGCTTACTCACGTCATTATATTCCCCAGCATTTTATGGAACCAGAAGGTTCATTGCCATGTTCACAGGAGCCCTCCACTGGTCCCAATCCTGAGCCAGACCAATCCAGTCCATACCATCCCATCCTATCTCTCTAAGATCCATTTTAATATTGTCCACCCAACTACGCCTTGGTCTTTCCAGTGGTATCTTTCCTTCTGGCTTTCCCGCCATTATCCTATACGAATTCATCGTCTTCCCCCATTCATGCTACATGACCTGCCCACCTCATCCTCCTTGACTTGACCATTCTAATTATACTTGGAGAAGAGTACAAGTTATGAAGCTCCTCATTATTCAGTTTTCTCCAACCTCGTGTCACTTCATCCCTCTTTGGTCCAAATATTCTCCTCAACACCCTGTTCTCAAACACCCTCAGTCTATGTTCCTCCGTTAATGTCAGAGACCAAGTGTCACACCCATACAGAATCACAGGCAAAATTATAGTTTTGTATATTCTAATTTTTATGTTTCTAGACAGCAGGCGAGAAGTCAAAAGTTTCTGGACTGAATGGTAGCAAGCATTACCGAAGTTCAGTCTCCTATTAATTTCCTTCTGAATCAGGTTTCGATCTATTATCGTTGTTCCCAAATATCTGAACTGTTTCACGTTTTCAAAACATCTCCTTTCTATCGTTATGTCATGATTTTGCCCTGCATTTTGGTGACGAGACAGCAACATATACTTAGTTTTCTCTGTGTTTACTTCTAGACCAACATCTTTACTTGCGTCAATTAAAGTTTGTGTTTTTTTTCTTTATGGTATCTACATTATCACCCAGTAGATTCACGTCATTATATATAGGTATAAAATGTTCAGAAGAATTTTTGTTCCACAAAAGAGTATACAAACTTCCAGAACTCAGAATTTATTTATTTTTTGCTCGTAAAGCCCTTCAGCTGAAAGTGCATTAGGTCTTGAAGTTACTAATTAGAAGTTGAAAGTAATTGGCGTGTAAACTGAAGTCTCAAAAAAGATCTCAGTCAGAGAAGGAAAACTCGCTGTGTCATTTAGTGTTGGAATGATGAAGGCACACGAGAGATAAAGAGAAACAAGAAACTCTCTGTCGCCTTAAGGTACTTTAGGGTCTAGAAGGGTTAAAAGTGTAGGCTTTAAAACTACTAGTACTAGATGTGTTCGTAGCCATGTAAGTAATGAGAATTTTACTGCCATATTTGTTATAACGTCAAAATATTTCACACAGTCGTCACATTTTATATTTTCCTAAAGAGGGTACCACAGAAATAGTTGCATACTTTCCACATTCTACACTGTCGAACGTTTTTGGACCCCCGCATTGATTGGCGCTACTGTTCCTCCCTCCGCCATATTGGTATTCTGCTGTTGACCATAGAAAAGTGAAATGTTTCATATGAGGAGACCTCAAATTGCAGTATGGTAATTCCACTTTTCACGAAAACCGGCCAATAATTGCCTATATCAGTGTTGCTCAAATTACTATACAAGTGCACCAATATACCGTAGAGGTATCAAATAGCTTGCCAGGTTTACCGTAAATCGTTTTTTATGTTTTTCGGCACTATAGCATGGAATTCGATTCCCGGCGCTATAAGATTTTCTGAAAGGTAGTGGGTCTGGAACGGGGTCCACTCAGCCTCGTGAGGAAAATTGAGGAGCTATTTCAAGGGAATAGCGGCTCCAGTCTAGAAAGCCGAGATTAACGGCCTTGGGGATCCGTTGCGCTGACCACGCGACACCCTCTATCCGCTAAAGTCGGCACTAACTTCGACGACAAGCGGCGGCCGCTCGGTCGGTCGGTATAGTTCGCCTGCGGACTAAAATCACAGTTTGTTTTATTCATTTAGATCTAAAAGATAAATAAGTTATACATTTTCCAGTTATTTTCCAGGATGTTTAGTCTGAGATTCTTTGGCCTACAGCATTGAGGCCTGTATATGAGTAAGTGATTGGACAGCCAAAATGGACGAACTTAGCCCTCTAGAATTGGTCTGAAGAATAAATTTTGTTCCTTTTAAATCCTAAGAGGGCATACACGGGCACGCGGTAGTGTAGTTGGTTGAGGTACTAGCTACAAGCCGTAAGGTCGCGGGTTTGAATCCCGATGAGGTCATTGTACTTTTCGGTTGACCTAATCCTTCCAGCCTCACTATGAGCCTCGGGTCGACTCAGCCTCTAACAGAAATGAGTACCAGAAATGTTCCGGGGGGGTAAAGGGCGGCCGCCGGGTAAGGCTGACCCCATCACCATCTGTGAATCGATTGCCTAGATAAATGTTAGAGCCTCGACGTCTTACAACCCTATGGGCCTTCACGGCTTTACCTTTACCTTTAACAGGACATACAATGGAAAAATGTGTTAACTTCAGGAAGCAGAGTCCTTCTTGAGAGGTTAAATACTCTGCCATCTGATTCCCGCCCTTTTATGGAACCTGAAAATGTATTATCTTTTTCATGAGAGACCGTCACTATATCCTACTTGAGCCAGATGAATCCACTGCAAAAATCTTGAGACTGCCGGGTGAGATTGTAATCCGAGGCTAACTTCTGCAGCGTTATATCGATTGGTGTGATTTAGTAAGAATGATGCCTAGTACCGTTATTTGAATGCCCATCTATCCAACGGATGGCATAATAAGGCTAAAACGCTATGGCTTCGGGGTTTATCTCTGTTTGGCATTATAGCAGAATCCTGGCAGTGAAAGAGGAATGTAATTCCACCACGTGAGCTACTCTTTGCATATTGGCATTAACTAGCATTTATTTTGCAGAGAACGTCTTTGCCTCGAGATATCGTGCTGAAGGTAATTTATATTTATTTTTAGAAGCAGTCATTAAAAAAGAATGTTCCTATTTAGCTTAAGAGTTAGAACAGAAATACAATTACTTGTTTTGCGTGCTTGTAACGACAAATCTCTGGCTTCATGGCATATACCAGTGCCTTGTTTCAGAGGTTAATGTAATTGAAATATATCCGAGGAAGAAGGAAAAACGTGAAAATAATAAATGAATTTTTTTAAGCATAAAGTTTCAAACATGTTCTCCATAGGTTCAAATAGTATTATTTGAATCTTGTAGGAACCTTTTGGAGTTGGAATAGCGTAGTCGCCTTAACCACTAGCTACTCACTGAATGACCGAGGGGTCGGAGTTCGAGTCAAGAATTTTCTCTTCACCATGTCGTCCAGACCGGCTCTAGGGTTTCACCCAACCTCCTTTCCAGTCGGTACCGGTGCTCTTTCCCCGGAGGTAAAGCGGCCGGGGCGTGAAGCTGACCATTCATCTCCATCTAGTGCCAAGGTCAAGCAAATATGGATCTATACATCCACTCCCACATACGTCTTCAAGGCACAGTGCTTCACTAGTTAAACACAGGGGCAACTTTACGTTTTACATTTTTGTAGGAACCTGTAATTTTCCGAATTTTAATAACGAAGACGAGGAGAGGAGAGGAAAAGCACTGCTTCTGATGTTGCGTTAATTTACAGCGGATTTCTAGCAGAAATGCACAGCAGTGTGGTCTGAACACGCACTGGATAATATTTTAATTAGTCTGCTTCAATTAGCAGCAGTTCATATGTAGCGGTAGCGTAGTTGGTTGAGGTACTGTGCTACAAGTCGGAAGGTCGCGGGATCGAATCCCGATGAGGTGGATTTTTATTTTCAATTTACCTAATCCTTCCTGCCGCATTATGGCCCTGGCGTCGACTCAGCCTCTAACAGAAATGAGTACCAGGAATATTCTTGGAATGTTCTTGGGGGTAAAGGGCGGCCGGCGCGTAGGGCTGACAATCTTACCGCCATCTGTGAGCCGATTGTCTAGAAAATGTGGGAACCTCAACATCTCACAACCCTATGGGCCGCCACGGCCTGTTACAGGGATACCTTTACTTTACTTTTACATATGTAGGTGCATTTCTTGAGAAAGAATAAATTATAAAATTCCGGAATCTGGTTAGAGTAGAAATGTCCTTGTCCTTAATTAAGCACCAAGACATGAAGACTTACAAGAGACTGTAGATATAGCTCCACATATTGTTAATCTCGGCACTAGGTAGGGGTGAGTGGTCAGCTTTACGCTCAGACCGCTTTATCCCCCGGTAAAGAGCCCCCGGTACCTATTCTACATGAAGCTGGCCAGTTACAAAATGAACCCTAAGTTTTTAAACAGGATGTAACTTACAGTCATTATAAAGGGCGGTCGCACACCAACTGCATCAAGACAAGCATCAAGACATGAAACAAAAGACGCAGTCTTGTTTCATTCGTGATTCGTCAGCATCATGACTCAGACCGGTGTACGGCAGTTTTCATAATCTCATTCGTTTCGACTGTGCTCCTTTCTTTGCGTCACGTCACAGAGATCGTGTCTTGACTGTTACATGTCTTGACGCATGCCTGTGTGCGGCCTATCAAAGAACTGACAGTGAGTTGGGTTATGTTCTATGGCTATCACAAATTAGTCCCTCTGTCCTATGTTGGTTCAGAATTAATTTTGAAATAACAGTTTTATAATGTATGGCCTTGTCATAGTTCAGGCGGTTAGTCTCCGACTTCTCACCACTGCTGCCCGGGTTCGATTCCACGTCAGGTCATAAGGGATTTTTGATGGACAAAGTGGTACTGGGAGAGGTTTTCTCTGAGTACTACGGTTTCCCTGGCCATTTCTCATTCCACTAATTGCCCATTAATCATCTTATCGATGCTATGTAGTTTCGTTATTGACAGCGTCATTAAATAAGCAACTAAATAGATATGTTGAGTTCACCGACAGACGCCGAGCAGTGCAGACGTGTCTTGTGCAGCGCTCAGTGAACCGTGTGTAAACAGTGAAAGGCATAGCTCATACAGTGCTACGACCTAACTACTTTTTGCATAGTGGTGAATGTTTGGAAATCTACTACCATATCTATTACAAGCAATCCCTGCAACACCCGTCTAACAGTGTTCAAAC